CTATCATGGTCCTGAGCTCATCTATTTTTTTTGTCAGTTTCTGCTCTAAAGTCTCAAATCATGACTTCCATTTTGCTATCTCTATGGTTATCTGGGAAATTATTTCTGTTTTGAATTTTTCTAGAGCCTGATTGATCTGTTTTGTTACTTCCTGTGCTTTGAGTTCAGGGTGTCCTGGTGGTTCACTATTGGCCTTTTCATCCTCATTTGCCCTACTGTTTGCCATTGGCGAACTGGAAGTCTGTCCTTGTGTCTTGCTTAAGTGTTTTCTCATTTTCATTTTTGTTGTTGGACTGTCCTTGGTTTAATCTCTGGATTATCACCCAAATCTTCCTGATATATTTGCACCGTAGCTTCTGTGTCTCTAATGACCCACAGACATTCTCATCTTCATAACATCAGAGAAACAGCTCATCAAATCAACCGTGATGCTTTATCCCAAGTGATACAATTAGCAACACATTAAGATCAAGTACAACTTGGACATTGACCACCTGTGGTAGTCACTAGTCAATCACCCTTAAATCATTTGAATTAAATTGAAATCAAGAAGCAGTCCAGAACATGTCTGCAGTGAACAAAATTTCAATATAGTGTATTTACCATTTAATGGCTCAGACAGAGCAAGGATGCAAGTCCCCTGGTCTCAGTTAGCTGATGGCTGAACCCATGACACTGACTGACCTCGGGTTGCAAGGCCCAGATTGAGTTCCCCAACCTTCTGAATGGTTGAACTCCGCAATGTTCTATTACAGGTTTCCCACCCACTTCCTTTAAAGATGTTCAAAGTTGGGAACTCAGAAAAATACCCTTGATGACCACCTCTGCCTCTGCAGAGTGGGTCAAAAGACTGGCACATTCAGGAGGTCTGAGAGTGTGGGGGGGTCTTATGGGGGTTAAGGGGTGCCCACACGGCTACCTTCCTGGCGCTTGAGCGATGGCTGCTGGGTCGGGAGCAGGCATGGCTCTCCTTCCCGCGGTGGATCGGGGCCAAGGCTACCTCCCAGCGCTTGAGCGATGGCTGAGTTGGAGTATTTTTAAATTAAATATATTGATATAAATTACATAAGACAGAATGCTCAGATTTAGTTACAATTTGATGAGTTTTGACAAATGTATATATACCTGTGTAACTATCACGATCAACATTTACACCATGATAGGAAGTTTCCTCCCGGCTTCTGCAGTCTGTTTGGTCTCAACCCATCCTCAGTGCCAAGTAACTACCGATCTGCTTTCTCATACTATAGGTAAGTTTCACCTGTTCTAAACTTCATATACATGTATATATTTTTTGCTTGTCTTTCACTCCACATATTTTAGAGATTTGTCTATACTGTTGCATGTGTGCTTTTCTTTTTTATTTTGAGTACTCCTTTGAGTATACCTCAACTTATCCATTTATTTATTGACATTTAGATTGCTTCATTTTGGGGTGTCATGAACATTCCTGTACAGTGTGTGGGCATCTGTTTCATATACTATAATCATAAAATTCTACAATTTCTAGGTTTACATTTTAGCGTTCTAAAATATTTCCCAGGCTGAGATGTGGCTCAGTGGGTTTTCCAAAGTGACTATACCATTTTCCAGTCTCACCAGGCAAAATAGTTCCAGTTGCTCCACACCATCTCTCTCATGGTATCATCAGTTTAAAAACAATAATAGTTTTAGCAATTCTAGTAGTGGAAAATGGCATATGACTATAGTTTTAATCTACATTTCTCTGATGCCTAATATTACACATTTTCATGAGTTTACTGGCCATTCATATAACTTCTTTAGGAAGAATCTGTTCAAATTATTTTTTACCCAGAGGCAATGTTACAACTCCCTTCATTTTCCAATGCAAATAAAGGTGTAAACATGAATTTCTATGACAATTGTCTCCTAATTCTAAAACATTCTAATTCAAAATATCCCCAAATGGAGAAAATTGTTCTATTTCTGTTTGTTTGGTTTTTTGTGGGTTTGTTTTTTTGAGACAGGGTCTCACTATGTAGTTGAGACTGACCTGGAACTCACTATGTAGCCCTGGCTTGTCTTGAACTCACAGTGATCTTCCTGCCTCAGACTCCTGCGTGCCAGAATTACAGGAATGCGCCAACATGTCCAGCTTAATTGTTCCATTTCTAATACCAGACTTTTTTTCTCTTCACAGAATTATGCTTAGGACAGAACTATGTACAAAACAAAACTTATGAGTTCCAATTTTTCTTTCTTTTCATTTCTTTTTTTTTTTTTTTTTTTGGTACCAGGGATCAATCTCAGGACCTTGCGCTTGTAAGGCAGGCACAGTGCCACTGAGTTCTAAATCCTTGGACCTAAAAAACTTTTTTTGTTTGTTTGTTTGTTTTTTGCTACCGGGGATTGAACTCCAGTCCTTGCGCTTGCAAGGCAGGCCACCGAACCACTGAGCTAAATCCCCGGCCCCCTAAAAAACTTTTAATCAAGGAAGCTTAGTAATATTTTAGACCCTTTGGTGTTTCAGAGGTTTTTACATAAGACAAGCCACCATAAAATGCAGGGTGAGTGAGAGTATATCTGTTTTATGTAAAGTGGGTAAAAGTAAACAGCCACAGCAAAGTGGGAATAAACTACTTTAATATTTCCTGGGACCTTTTTATTGTGGTAAAATATACATAAAATTTACAGGGCCAAGTGTGGTGGTGCACATCTGTAATTCTAGCATTTGGAAAGCTAAGGCAGGCAGGATTGTTGTAAATTTGGGCCCAGCCTGTGCTACATAGTGAGTTCAAGAACAGGCCGAACTACACAGCAAGACCCTGTCTCAGAAAACAAAACAAAATTTATAATTTTAACCATTTAAAAATGTGGTGCTTTAAATATATTCATACTACTTTGTAACCATCACCCTCCTCAATCCACTTTCTTATCATCCCAATTTGAAGCTCCATTCCCAATACTAACTCCCCAGTCACATCCCAACAGTTCCTGGAAACCACCATTCTACTGTATGCCTTTATGAATTTGACTAGTTATGCTATGTTATATAGGAGGAATCATATGAATTTGTCTTTTTGTGTCTACTTCACTTAATATGTTTGCAAGCACAGTTCAGATTTTTTTTTTTTGTAAAGACAAGGTCTCACTATGTAGTTCAGGCTGGCCTTGAACTCACACTGATCCTCTTGTTTCAACCTCCTGAGTGCTGGGATTACAGGCATGCACCACCAGGCCCAACTCAGAATTTCCTTTCTTCTTAAGATTAATATTTCACACCAGGTGTGGTGGTGAACGCCTGTAATCCCAGTACTCAGGAGGCTGAGGCAGGAGGATTGCTGTGAGTTTGAGACCGGCCTGGGCTACATAGTGAGACCCTGTCTCAAAAAATGAAACAAAACAAAAAGACTAATATTTCATGGCATATACATATCACATTTTGTTTATCTTCCATCCCTCTATCCATCAATGGACTTGGGTTACTTCCACTCTGGAGATATTGTGAATAATGCTGCTATGCATATGGGTGTGCAGTATCTGTTCAAGACTGTGTTTTAAATTGTTTTGGGTGTATATTCAGAAGTGGAATTGCTAGATGATATAGTAATTCTACATTTTTCTGAGTAATCCTGGGGGAAAAATCCTTTTTTTTTTTTTTTTTTGGTACTGGGGATCAAATTTGGGTCCTTGGGCTTGTGAGGCGGGTGGCAGAACCACTGAACTAAATCCCCAACCCCGGGAAACCACTTTTAGGACAAGCATTTGATAATCAGTTCACTTAAATTTCTGTGTCCCTTAAGTCTTTCTGTGCCCCAGATTGAAAACTCCTTTTCTAAGGGAGTCAGACCTTAGAACGGAAAGGAAGTAATATTGAGGGGAAAGCATAAATTTGGAGCCAAATAGTAGGGAGTAGAACCCAATATTTAGTCTAGGACCTGAAGGCGAATCATTTCCTTCTTTGAAGTTTTCTTTTCTTTCAAATGAAGCTAACACCTACCCCACAGGACTACTGATGATATTTAAAGAGAATGGTTTATGGAATTAATATGAGAAAATGAAAAAATGGAAACAAAGTCTTTGTAGATAAGGAGGGGTGGAGGGGTTGAAGAGAGCACAGGGGAACAGGGAACAAATAAGAACCAAGATGGACTATGTAAAGGTGAAAATTTCTAATGATGAATGTCATTACCTTTTATACTTTAAATGTATCTATAAAATTAATTTTTAAAAATGTAAAAAAGAATTTTTTTGAGATCTTGATACAGCAGGACAGGTGAGTAGACTCTGACCTAAAGATGAATGCTACCTGATAGCCACAGATGAATAAATAGGTCACTTCAATATAAAGTAGTACATGATTATCATAGGTGTCTTGGAGGCAAGGCATTTTATCCTTATGAGAAAGGTCAGAGACATGCTCGAAATGGGTGAAGAGTAGGAAACCTGCAGGCTGAAGACACAAGTAAAGACACAAAGGCAAAACCCCAAGCACGTTAGGAAAACTCACAGCAACTTGATGTCACAATACAAAATGCAAAACATGAATGGGAACAAATGAGGTTAGGTTAGGCAGCTTCCTGCAAAGCCATGCTAAAGATCATGACCTTACTATGTGCCTTGGTTTCCTCCTGTTTCAAATTCTGTAAAATGAGGGTTATAATAGTACTTTTCCCACAGAGCTGCTGGGCAACTAAAGAAAATCTAAATGAAATAACACACACAGAGAAACCAGAAGACTGCCTGACACGTACTGGAGGCCCAGATATTTCCTAACAGTAATAACAATCTTAAAGGGGGCAGAAAGGTTTTAAGCTAGAAACTGTACTACCACATCAATGATTACTCTGGGGAAGCCAGACTTCTGGTGCAGGCCCTCAAAGTTAGTTTTCTTCCAGTGACTCCATCTCTTTCCCAATAACAAAAAGACCACCACAGCACATTGCTTTTTAAAGTTTTACTAAAGTTTAATGGAACAATTAATATATTTTTTTGTTAACCCCAGTACAAAAATACAGTTGATGACTTGACAAAAATGGCTCCAGGTAGGGCTTGAAGGTTACAGTTTCTCCATTGTGATGAGGAAAAGCATGCTTCCAGCTGGGGCTGAGTCCAAGCACACAGCCATTCCTGAACACACATGCGTGCAAACAGGGGAAGCCGAACACAGAGGAAGGAGGTCATGGGGACTCAGGAAGAAAGAACTCCAAGATTATTCCCAGGAGAAAAACAGGCTGGTCTCTTTGATAAGTGGTAGAATTACCAATGTATTATTTAGGACTTAATTTTTTAAAAAAATTTTAAGCTCTTCCTGAATGTTAATATTATGGAAAAGATGCTACTGGTCTTCTTTCACCAGTAAGGCAAGTAAAGCAGGAGGAATTGGGAAAAGACTCAAATACTGAAATTTGAGGAGTAAATCTCCAAGTGGCTCAAGTTTTGTGCCATAAGGTTTCATTCTTAACATTCAAAGACAAATGGACATTTAGGTGATAGGTAGCAGGAGAGGGAAGTCTGCCACACTGCTAGATCCATACACATGCCGACCAGCTTGTTAGCAGACTTCTTCCACAGTGAGAAAGCTGCTTCCAGTGTTGGTAGAAGCTAGGTTTCCTGGCTGGTTTAATTGTTCTGGGTGATTCCTCAATATTCCTTCCATTGCTGCTTTCCTTCTAGAACAATGACTTTGATGAAAGAAGGGACACATTCATATTACAACTCGTCTTCAAGGTGTCTCTGTCTGAAGGCATCACCTGTCAGCTTTTCCTGAGCTTCCTTCATTCCCTGAACAACTGTGAAATCAAAGCAGTGAGAAAAGTTATGATGCAGATCTTTAATATCTGATATTTGGGACTTTTAAATGTCTTAGGAAAATCATGAGATCTGGACTTAAGATCAGGTTGTGAGTTTTAGCCCTGGCATGTCACTGACCTCTCTGAATTTTCCTTGTCTATAAAATGCAACTTCATGCAGGATTATTATAAAACACGAGAACACCTTCCTATCATCTCCATTATGTCTTCTGGATGACTGTTGCATTTATTTAATTTCCTGTAGAGTTACAGGTTACACTAATGATGTGCATGGGTGTGCGGTCTATGTATTCCCATGCACGCTTGGAGAAGAATGATCTCAACTCCAGGGTGTAGTCATTTTCATTTTCAACTATACTTGGAAGAAATCATATTCAGGCAATACAACAAAACAAAAAACCAAAAACAACAACAACAACAAAATACCAAAACAAAGAGAGAAAGCTAGAAGGAGGGACATCTCATGGCATATTCCTTTTATAGATTTGCATTTTAAGAAGGGTCATTTCAGTATAGGCATTTGCATGATGGTTTTATAGTAGCACCCCTGTATAGCTGCAGGCTGGGAGCTAGTTTAAGCAGAATCTGTGAGTCCTGGGAAGCAAACCCATTATCTCCTAAGAGACACATAAGATAGTTATTTCCTCTTTGTCTTCAGTCACTGAATATTCCAGTTTTGTGTCAGCTAAGCCACAAAGAACCTACAGGAAGAGTCTTGTTCATATTTGAACTACGGCAGTGTAGAGATGGCAATGGATAACTTGGATATAATTATAAAGAGAAAGTGAATCCGAGGAGATCTAACACCCAGCTGCTCTTCTCTGTGTGAAAAATCTTTTAACATCCATCTCCAGGGATCTGCATTTGGTCTAGAAGTGCCATTTTCCCTACCCAGAAGAAGGGATGGTAACACTTCAAGATCTCTTCCCCTTCGCTATTCTGAAAATACAAGTTCCAAAGATAGTGATCAGTGACCTGGCTGCTTAACAACAGGGGATGCACGACAACTCAGCAAACAACTCCCTTTTATACAACAGGGTAAAAAGGAAGGAAAAGTCATAGTATATGACATGAATTCCAAGCTGTGCTTTTAAAGTGCTTACACTCCAGAATTCAGACAGGATTTCAGCCTTCCTTCACCAGTCTATACTGATGCCATTTTTCTCTGCTTGAAACATGCTTTTCTCTTCCGTATGCTGACTCGGTCTCACTGTCCAGGGCTCAGTCCACTCAGTTTCCCCTAGCAAGCTTCATACAGTCTCCACATCAGGCTGTATCCTCCCCACTTTTTGCTTCTTTAGTTTCAAATGTTCCCTCATATATGTCCAGAGACAAATTCTTACAGTTGTTGATCCAGTTAAGAGTTTAGTACCTCTTAATCAGTTATTTTTATTCTTTCTCTAGTTTGTTACAGGAACAATGCAATGGGGAAAAAACAAAAACAAAAAACTAGTTCTGGATTTAAATCCTAACTGTGTGACTTACTGTGAGACTGTGAACAGGTGACTCTCTCCAGAAGTTAGTTAGCTTCCGATGGGTTAGTTAGCTCTTCCTCTGGATTTCATTTATACTGTGGGACTGGGGATTGAACCTAGGGCCTTCACACTGAACTACATCCCCAGCCACTTTTTTTTTTTTGAGATAGGTTCTTGCTAAGTCACTAAGTTGCCCAGGCTGGCCTTGAATTTGCTCTTCATGCCTCAGCCTCCCAGAGTTCTGGGATTACAGGCATGTACCACCACGTTCAGTTTCACTGGATTTTTTTTTTAAACAAGAGCTTTAATTTGGCTCATTTCCATTGGATTTTTGAGTAGCTAGGGAAGGGCTCAGTTTTAGCTTTCTCCTGTATCCTATACAGGATGTAGCCAAAAGTTAGTCATGCAGGAAATATCCAGCTAACAGGTTGGATTAAGCTCTTGTCATAGACCCTGTCTATCATTCATCCGAGTTAAATCTGGTAGCAATTCTCCCTCCTTTCACTCAGCAGAACTGTACCTTGCTCAGCACTGACGTAGAAATACTTGTAGCTCGGGTTACCATTCTCATTGATGATTTCAGGACGCACCTTGCCACTGGGATCTATTATAGACAAAACGGCACAGGGATTGCAGTAGTTACAACAAAGAGGTACTTCTCAACACCACATGGTATACTAAGTCCTTTTGTAAATAATACCAGCCCATCCTTGCAGCCCATTACGCTACCCCTTGCATGTCATGTTTTGGTCACAATGAACTCCTTACAATTCCCAGAATGCAAATCCTCCTAGCCCCTCCCTGTGACTTGGCACGGCTGCTCCCTTTTTTCACGGGTGTTCCTTTTATTCTTGATGATGGGGGTCCTATATTTTTATATCTCCACAGAATCAAGCCAAATGTTAAGCAGAGATTAGGTGATCATTAACTATGTCTTATAAACTTGTTTGTGAAAAGACATTTGTCTGATTGTACTATTCTGTTGCCTCAGTTATACTATAGGGTCAGAGTGGGAGTTGTGGCTTCTTCTCTTTTTCTATCTTCTTATAGTGTCTAGCACAGCTCTTAACATGTGGTTGACGATCAGATGACTGCTGAACAAATAAAAAATCAAACTTCTCATTGCTCATAAAAGCAGTTTGTTAATGGGAAAATTTGTCATACAAACTTGCAGTTCTAGTATATTCAGAATTCTCTAATCTCTTGAAACTGGCTTCTGTTTGTGGATATCCTAATGTAGTTTTACTAGGTGCAGTCAGTATCTTGAATCATTTCTCTCTCCATCCACACACACCATAGCTGCCAAGATTAAGATGTTTTAGCCTTACCCAAGAAAAGGATTCGTGGAATATAACCACCATCAGGACTGAAATCTTCATCCCTGGGTTCCTCTTCATCCTATTAAGGTTAAATGTGAACTTTACATTAGATCATATTTTCCATCTCAGAGACTTTTAGTGCATTCTGCCCTTGCTAGGACTCCAAGGTCCTGCATGATCTGCCCCCGGGCACTTCTCAAACTTCAAACTTTATCTTGTTTGGTCCTTTTTAGCCAATTAACCTTGCTTATTGCTGTCATTCAACAAGTCAGATACGATCCTAAGTCAGACTTTTGAACTTGCTCTTATCCTGTCTAGACACACTTCCTCCTATCCTCCCTCTACGTCAGATCTTTGCTCAAATATCACCTTCTTTCCTAATCACCTGTTTAAAATTGCATCCCTGAGACCCTTTATTTTTAGCTACATTTACTATCATCTGACATGTTTTCCTTGTCTTTCTACATTAGAACGTTATTTCAATGGGGAAATGTTTTCTCTTTTGTTCACTGATGTATTGCAAGTGCCTACATGACTGACTCACAAACAGCATTTCTTGAATGCAGGAATTAATGAAATTGCTATTTAGGCTACAATTGTGGAGTGATAGTCTTCCCAGGAGATACCACCACGCAATTACTTTATTATTGTTGTTTTAGAGAAATTCTTAAGTTAAAGGAATGCTCACTAAAGACATTATTTCTGTTTCCTCTGAATGGAGACCATGATTTACCATAAAAAATGTCAAGGAATTCATTAGCATGGGAAACCAACAGTAACTTTACAATTTGCAACGTGGTTCCCATTTCAGGGGCTAAACTGGGACATTTCTTCAAACTGTAATAAACTGCTTCAGTAAGATATACCAGCACTCGTGCTATTCACTACTATATAAGCAACACTGTTGCAGTCTCAATGATAACTATTCATCTGGTCAGAAGATTCTTGGTTCTATGCTTAAATATATGTAAGCTTCACAGAAATTTAAGCTGTAAGTATCATCACAGAGCATACAAGTAGTTCCATATTTGAAGAATATTGGAATATAGCTAAGTCATAGTAGCTATTCTAATCACGTATTCAACTCTGATTTTGAACAAACTGAATACTTCTTTCAGGCCTAAGATGTTCTTTCTATAAACTGGGGACAGTACCAATAGCCTAAAAATCTCTCTAAGTCTAAAGTCTGATATTCTATGACTCAAGATTCCGAGACCTTAAGCCTATACATGTCAAGTGCACAAAAACTATCTCATGAGGAAACAGGAAAGTTGTAAATAATAAGACCAGCAGAGAGGAGATGTTTAACTGAGTCTCATTTGTCAGGAAGTTTAGACTCCATGTATGATTACCATCTAGCTATAAAAAATGTGGACTGTTGTAATAAAAAACCAAGGATGAGCCAAGCATAGTTATGCACATCTCTGGTCCCAGTACTCAGGAGACAGAGGCAAGAGAATTGCTTCTAGTTAGGGGTCAGCCTGAGCTACACACTAAGTTCCAGGCCAGCATGAACTATATAGAAAGAACCTGTTTCAAAAATAAATAAATAAATAAATAAATAGAAATTAAAAACCCAGGATAAAAGATCTTTAAGATTTAGTTATCTTAGGCCTGGGGATTTAGCTCAGAAGCACTGTGCGTGCCTCGCAAGTGCAAGGTCCTGAGTTTGATCCCTGGTACCAAAAAAAAAAAGGAAAAAAGTTATCTTTTTCAGGCTCTCCTCTCCTACTTCCTACCCACAGTAGATGCCAAATGGCTTTCTACCACATCTAATGCAAGCCTTAACACTAGAGGTCAAAAAATTTTTAAATATACATAAATAAACACACAAAAATTAGAGGTCAAGAGAAAAACAAATATATAGAAGTGGCCAGCTCTGCTCAGTATGATTTTATACCACTAATAATAATAAATCTAAAATAATAAAGTCTTTTAAAAGGAGAAACTCTTAGTCTTACCTCAAGATTTACCATAACAAAATTATGGGCAAGTTCTGAAATTTCTTTAGATTCTGCAAATTTGGGCTTTAAAGCTAGGGGAAAAAAAGAAAAGATTTTGGAACAGAAGAAACATTCATCATATCCAAACCCTAAAGAGCAAGAGCATTACTGATTCTCCTGGAATAGTCCCAATAATTTGCTAAATTGATACATGTAACTGAAACCTTTTATATTTTTAACTTAAAATCAGAATCAATTCATAGATCTTGACCCTTTTGCTACTTATTTACACAGCTATATGACCTTGAGTGGCATTTCATTTCTCTGAAACTTTTATCTGATTGATAAAGTAAGGATGACATATAAGTGGAAGGAGTATTACTTTTTTTTTTTTTTTGGTACTGGGGATCGAACTCAGGACCCTGCACTTGTGAGGCAGGCGGTGGAACCAGAGCTAAATCCCCATCCCTGGAGGGGGTATTACTATCTGCTTTTTTATTTTTGATACCAAGGATCAAACTTAGGATGTTGCACTTGCCAGGCAAGCACAGCACCGAGCTACATTCCGGCCCTACTATTTGCTTTTTATAGTTACATTTCAGTAACTTGTATGGAAAGCAGAAATAATAGCACACTGCCACTAATACAGCTACAATTTCATATACACTAGTTATTTACACTAATTTTACATGCCTTCTCCAACTAGGATGTTATTAGGTGTAGCACACTAAATTAAAGCTAAAACCTGGCTGGGAAGGTGGCAGGCTAGCTAGTATAGGAGAAAGAATACATGACACAACGTCAAATAACTAATTTGGTTCCCCTCTCCTCCAGGAAGACTTATCTACTTCTCATGTCTTTCAGTACAGCTCCCTCTAACATTCACGGTCTATGTGACATATTTTAGCATTTACTCCTGTACTCTATATCACTATATCTTAATTACCTCATTTTCCTTAAACCCTGCCTTGCAAATATAACTGTAAATTACACAAAGGAAGGAAATCAACATCATATATTTCTTTGGTATTCCTTCAAGCACTCAGTAGTGCTGTGCCAGAATCAGTGCTAACATTTATTGCATGTTAACCTTTGACAGCACATTTGAGGTCTGATGTTAAGTACTTGAACTTACCTTTGCAAGCACCACACCAAGACTTATGGATAATCACCATCAGGGGCAATCCACTTAAAAACAAAACAAACAAATTATAAGCTAGTATACTTCCTCAAAGCTAGTCTAAAAAAATGTTTATGAAGACAAAGATTAATGTACAAAGATGTTCATGTACTGTACTATGACTCCAGTTGGGAAAAATGAAATTCAAAAAATTCAACAGTAATATATTATCCTAGCAAAATTACTGTTAAATTCCGACATTTCTGCAAATTTGGGTGTTAAGACAAGGGAAAAAGATTATGGGATAGAAAAAAACCATCAAATTGACATTTTAAAATATTATGGTATTCTAAATGATTACATTATGTAGTCATGGACAATGTAAATGAAAATTTTTCATTGCTGTGAAATAAAAATCCAGGACATAAAAATCATCTATGACCTGATTGTAATTATACATATATGCAGAGCAAAGAGCCCAAAAGGACATGTACCAAAATATATCAGTTATCTATAGATGATGAGATTGTACTTTTCCCTGTAACTTCTACCATTTTCCAACAATTAAATATATTTTCATAATCAGGGAGGAAAAAAATTTAAATAATAAGCAATATAATCCACTGGTACTCACATAAAGTTTTTAAGCTCTCAAAGCTCAAATACTAGGAGGGCCCTATGTAGGCAATCACTGACTTTCTCCATCATACAACCCCCTATATTACCATATTACCACATGCTGGTGTAATATTATGACTGTACTTGGCATTACTGAATTATATCTATTATTTACCCATCTCTCTCCATTATACTTGGAGCTTCTTAAGGAATTCTTAGCTTCTTCTCAGAATTCTCTTCTTAAGGAATTTTCAGCATGTTTCTAGCACATACACTATTACCGGTAGCACAAATACTTATATTACATTTACTACATATCATTAATATTCTACATTAGTGATAGTAAATTTTTTAGAGCTTTCAACCATATAAATAGCTTGATGTTGCATGTGTGCACTATATTTGCCACCACTGTTCTAAATATAAATTTAGAAGCTGGTTTAATGAGTGTCCAATGAGCTACTTCACCTTAAGCTGATGACAAATCTGGATGTATTTGTGTCTCTCCTATTTGCAAATGCTTGTAAACCACACAAGAAGAGCAAGTTTAGGTGGGTAGTGGGATCTAGGTAACTGTAATAGTCAATAGTAATGCTTTAAGTGCATTATCTCATTTAAGCCCTTAAAACAACTCTAGAGTAGATACCATTAACGGTCTCATAACATAAATGAGAAAATATAAAATATAAATGAGAAAACCCAGGCTCCTAAAAGATTAAAAACTTGGCCATATAATATCTAGGTTCTGCCGAGTGTGGTAGCACATGCCGGTGATCCCAGCATTTGCAGAGTGTGAGGCAGGAAGGTCAGCATGCAGGAGTCTCCAGGCCTGCATGAACTGCATGGCAAGACCCTGTCTCAAAACAAAACACCTGGGGATGTAGCTCATGTTGCCACCACCTGCCTCGCAAGCACAAGGCACCAAGTTTGATCCCTGGTACCAAACAAAAAAAACAAAACAAATCTAGGTTCTGCCATTTACTCAGAAGCCTGACTCTAAAATCAGTCTTATAATATAGTCTACTTCAATTTGGAATAGCAATCCAGAATCCATGGGTTTAAACCCAATTTATCTCAACCAATAATCATCTTAGAATCAGACAATCAAAGATGGAAAAGGTCTTTGAGATTATCAATTCCAAACCTCTATTTCATGCATTAGTTCTCTCAGTTATCAGAAAAAGGTGGTCCAGATTATCCAATGAGTAACAAATACATAATCAACTGTGGCAACCTACCTCCCTCAACTTGTAACAGCTCCATGCAATTTCAAAGCATGTACATTTTAGAACGTCTTGCTCCCTCTTCTCTCCCTGGCACTCCTATTCATGTTGTAGAACTGAAATTAAAATTGAAGTCTGCAGGCCAACTCCAATCTACTTCCTTCTTCCATAGGGCCAACAATATATAAATTTTAAAATGTATTTTTCAATAATTGAAAAGCAAATCTAAAGGAACATATTTTATGACAGGTTGGAATTAAATGTAATTCACATTCAGTGTCTATATATATTTTTTTAAATTCCAATGGTTGTACCATTCTTGGGAGTTATTTCAATACCAGGTCGCTGCATGTAGTGGAAAGAGCAAGCTATTCCTTCCACCTTCTATCTCCAAAAATCCAATTAATATACTCCAAAAAAATCCATGTCATATATACTGTTCTGTCACAGAGTATGTATCAGATAGTAAATCGGTAAATTTGATTTTAGCTAAAAGGTCAAGAAATGTGTCTATCAAATTAGAATACATTCATGCTCATGTACTTCGGTTATTGGGTATAAGCAGCAAGACCACAAAGTCTAATACATTTACTGTTTTGCCCTTTGTGGACCACTGTTGTAAAATGATGGTTCAAATGTTAACTCCTTTGTAAAGCATTCCCCAAACTACCTTCTCCCAGCAGCTAGTTAGTCCTTCTCTCATCTGGGCTCTCAAGAATTTTGTCATCATCCTCTGACCACTAGACTTTGACATCCTATAATCATCTGTATTTCCCTTCTCAAGGTCAGTTAGTTTGAAAAATCACAGGCATTGATAAAGTAGGTATACTATCAGTTCAATGAAAGCAACAAGAGTAAAAAGACAAGCTCACAGTGAAAACATTATGAAGCACAATAATTATGTAAACTGTCATAATCACTCTAGGTGAGACCAATCTAGTCCCTCCTACTATCAAAATACTATTTCAACCAAAGGTATAGCAATAATACATGTGAGTTTGGTGTGGCACTTCATGCCTATAATCCTAGATCCACAAGTCTGAGGCAGGAGGATCATTTGAGGCCAATCTACAATACATAGTGAAATCCTGTCTCAAAAAAAAAAAAAAAAAAAAA